TTGTTGGAACTGGATCAGAAGGTCATCAAAGGGCATGTCTACCTATCAGTGTTAGTTTCCTGTCACTGCAACAAATTAACATAAACTTGGTGACTTGGCCATGAGGAATTTTTCTCGCCAAAGGCCAGCAGTCCAAAGTCAGCATCACTGATTTAATTTGGGCACAAAACCACGGAGTTGTCAGGACAGTTGTCAGAGGGAGAGCCTCCCTCTGGAGGCTCTCGGGGAGAATCTGCTCCGTGTCTCCTTGAGCTTCTGGGTACTGCCAGCACTCCCTGGCTCGTGGCCACATCACTGCAGTCTCTGCCTCTGTGATCCCATTGCCTTCTCTTCTGTGTCAGCTCTCCTCGGCCCCTCTTTTAAGAATACTTGTGATTGCATTTGTGGTCCACTCAGATAATCCAGGAGAGTCTCCCCATTGCAAGACCCTTACACAATCACATTCACAGTCTTTTCTTTTCTTGTTTTTTTTTGCTTGTTTGTCTATGTATAAAGTAACATTCACAGATTCCAGAAATTAGGATATGGGTATCTTTTGTGGGACCATTATTTAGCCTACCGCACTACCCCTCCCCATAATTCCCTCACACGTAACCCCCGAGTTCTAGGTCAGGGTCAGTTCGCTCTCCCAACTTCCTGAGTCTGAGGCGGCCAGCACTGCACTTGTTCCTTCTAACCTCTTACTTTCTGCCACCTGCAGTGGTAATAGGGTCCTTGGTGTCTGACCGCCAGCTCTCCAAAGGGCAGAGGAGTTTAGACTCTCTGATCAGGTCCCTTCTTCCACAAATCCTGGGTCTGGTGAGACAGGAGAGCTGAAATGGGGTAGATCTCCAATGTAGCTGATTTGTGGTCATAAGAATCAAGTCGTTTTGCTTTTGTTTAGCTTTGACTAGTGCAGAAATGTCTTGCCTCTGCCTTTCTGGCAGAATAGCTCCAGAACATAAAACCCATGGGGACAGAAAGCAGATCTTCGGCTTATCACACACCGTGCCCAGCAGTGTCTCCACAGACTAGACAGTTACCAGCCACCTCGGTGCCACACCCCTCAGACCGCCCCGTGGACCCCTCCCCACTGTGGTTAGCCTCCTCCAGCCAGGCGTCTTGCCAGCATCCAGGGTGGATTTGACGGCACCAGGCAGGGCTTCAGATGTCATCGGTGGCATTCTGAAGCCCTCTGTTTAGATGTAGATCTTGTTCCTGTGGCCTTTTTTTTTTTTTTTAAGCAAAGAGTTGAATCCTGTGCCAGATACAATGTTGCAGTTATAAGAGGCATGTGTTATTATCCTACACACCATGTATGCCACTGCTTAAAATACCCCTTGATGGCGAGGGCTGCAGAAAGACACCCACTGTGACAAGTATGAAAAGCGGCCTTAGGAAAGTAGTTGTAGAGAAACCAGCAGTGCTGCTGTACGTAGCTGCTGATAATTGCTGTTCTTGGCATTAGTTCCTATCTGCTTAAAGCAGAAGGCTGGGGGTGGGGTGAAGGGACATGAGTGGAAACTGCATGTAACTGAAAATTTCCTCTCTACTCTAAGAAGAATTCTCTTGAAAGGAAATGAAAAACAGTTCCAGATGGTCAATGGAAGATTTTTTTTTTTTTTTTGGTTGGAAACCTATGCTGTCTCCTTGTTGAGAATAACTATGCCTTGAAAATAGGGGTCCAAACTTAGCCACCCACAAAAAAAAGGCAGCTTCATAAAAGAGAATGACCAGGATACAGATGAACAGTCTCTAGTTCTTTTCTGTTATCCAGCCAGAATCTTCACTTTGAGTTCATGTACTTATCTGAGACACAGACGCTGTCTAGGAGTCAATGGTATCATGTTTTCATACCTATCTGCACAACTGAAGCCTTTTAAAACTCGGAAGTAACAAAGGATAGATAGATATCCTTAACCTGAATAGATAATTGGGATAAAATAGAAGGTTTAGACAGATGATTTAAAGAACAAAGAATCTGATACAGTCTAAAAAATACATGAGAGGCAAAAAAATGGAGAGAGTTCTCAGTGGGTCTAGAATATTAGTCATCAAATCTTTACAGAGCCCCTACTATGTGCTGGACCAGACACTGGGTTAGGAAATGGGGATGCAACAGTGAACAAGACCCCAACCCTACCCAGGAGTTTAGTCTAGTTGGGGGACTGGATGAGTAAGTAAGCGATTATATTTACTCATCCAGTCCCCCCCCCCCAGGATATTATATTTACAATGCCCAGTGTGTTCAAGTACATCAGAGGGACAGGTAACTTGCCTTAAGGATCAGGAGAGGCTCCTGAAAATGATGTCGATATTGAGACTCAAATGACATAGAGCAGTTGGTCTGGAAAAGGTACCAAGAGTCTTACAGGTGGGAATGGTGCATGCAAATGGCCTGGAGGCCAAGGCATCGGGGTGGACAGGTGTTTGTGGGTGAACCAAGAGACTAATAGCTGACTGACCTAGACAGACAGGCAGGGAAACATGTGAAGGAGAGAAAAGACGGCAAGACAGCAGGAGGGAGCACAGGGTCCCATCCAGTTTTTCCCGCAGCTGAGTACCCCACCTCCTATACGTTTTAGTGTTGTCACAGAAGGCAGGCTCCCAGCAGGCCAGCAAGCTGCCTCATCCTCTCTGCTACTTTCCCAGGAGACAGAGGTCCCCTGACTCAAACTGGAAAACCGGGGGAGGGCCTGCAGGACCAGAGCCTGCCGCGCTGTCTGTGAGAGTTCTGGTAGCAGAACCTGATGGCTTGGAGGCTGAGCAATCGGGGTCCTGAAAGTTGAAATAAATCTTCCTTTCTAGTGGAGTTCTGGATTCATCCCCAACCTGCAGCAAGCTATGAGATGCACAGCTCTGATGTTCCCTTTTAGATTCGGGGGGGGGAGGGGGAGGGCATTCTTTAGATCACCTGAAAAAAAATACAAGGAATTTTAGAAATTACCTGACAATAAATGTCAGGTAATACTGACTAGAAATCAATCCACAGCAGCTGCTTCCCACAGCTGCACACCATGTGGTGACTGCATTCGAACCTGTTAAAGTAAATGTAAGGCTAAAAATATCCAGGAATGTCAGTCTTCAGGAGCTGCGTCTCTAAACGAGGCAGCCACAGAAACCCACAGTGGGGAGGAAGAGGACTGAGGGGAGGTTTGTCTTTGGCCCACTGGATCCATGGTCAGATGGGTATTACCCGAGGGGCCGAAGAAACGACACCAGGAGCGTGCAGTTCCTGGTTCACATTCATTGAGTGAACCTCATGGTACCCATTTTACAGATGGTTACAAATATATGTGTTGGCCCCTGAACTCTTACAGACTGAGAGTACCTAATCTCAGCTGTAATCCAACTCCAGTTGATTTCATAAGGAAAACATAAGTAGTTAGAGAGAAATAACTTCTTCACTGTTTCCGTGATCTGCCCAAGCCAGTTAGCATGGAGAGAGTGTGTGACACTCTGCTAAGAAGCAACCCCTTTTTTAAGTTGTGAAACTGCGGCTGGGACTTTCTCACCAACAGAGGAAAAAGTAAGTTGGCGTCGGAAGGAAGCATGCTCCACCAGAGACAAAAGCAAAAGGATGCTTTTCTTAATTGTGGGGAATTCAAAAAGGAATATATACACTCATTTAGTGCCAAAGAAAATAGATATGCTTTTCCACGCTTCGAAAAGCACCAACAAATATTTTTTACTGCCTTTTTAGCAAGGAAAGCCCATCTACCCCCGGGGGCAGCAGCTCGGAGGTGAGCACAAGAACAGCGAATGCTTGTTGAGCACCATGCCCCAGACACTGTGCCCCAGACACTGTGCTGACCAAGCTCTTCGCCAGGGGCCCTGACTGATCATCACAAGATCTGTATGAGGGTGATGCTGTTGTTCTCCACCTTCCGTGACCGAGGAAACTGAGGCTCAGCAGGGTTTAGAAATTTGCCCCAGGGCACACTGCTTGTCAGTGGAGAAGGCAGGGTTCCCCCCACCAGTCTCTCTCCAGAAGGAGTGCTCTTAGCGGAAAACTGTCTCAGCATCACTGTCTTGTCACGAAGGTTAACTAGACTGATTTTCAGAGTTGTCTGTGTTTCCCGTGGGGAGTTTTTCTGTTTTTCATTTGTATTTTTCTTTTTTGGCGTTGGCCGTATTTGGTACTTCCTCCGTTTCCTTCCCTTTTGTAAACTAGGTGAATGGGCACTGAATCGGAAGTCTGACAGCTAGGTGAGAGTTTCACTTCTGCCACTAACGACCAAGTGACTTCGCACAGTTCACGGCCTCCGGGCCCCCTGGTTCCTTATCTGTAAAATGAAGTTGCAGGACCATAACGAAGGCGCGCTCCTGTGCCGAATACCCCCCTCTCTCCTTTCTCTCTCCCTTGCTGTCCTCTCCGGTCGCTTCCTTCCTTCTTATCCTGGCCACTGGCGAGGACCCTCAGGCCCTCCCTCCCCGGGGTCCTGAGTCACTTTTCGTCTGTGCGGCAGGCAGGCAGGCAGGCAGAGGAAGTAGTGTGAGAGTGCACTGCTGACCGAGCAGCTCGGGGGACGCAGAGGTGGTGAGGAGAGGGGCGCGCAGTGTGGCATTACGCAGAGGAATGCACGGGCAGAGCTGGCCTTCCTCAGAAGTGAAGCGAAAATCCGCCCTGGCTTTGGGCCCTCCATGCCTGCTGGCTTTTCCATGGTCTCCCTGTCATCGGGGACCTCACACTGCACCTTAGCTTCATACTCCTGCGCCTTCGGACCAGGGCATCCCATCCTCCTCCTGTCTCCCCACGGAGCATCACATCCTACTGGCTCTGTATCCCGTGCCCTCGGACTCCACTGTCTGTTTAGCAGCTGTGCCTCAGCTTCTGTGACGTCCACCAAGTAGCCCCCGCAAGCACTATAATGTTGTAACTCATCTTAAGACAACATCTAGAATTTAAGAAGGCCTCCAAAAAGTTAAGGTACTTTGGGACAGAATTCTCCCGTTCTGACCACCTGTTTTTGGTCCAAAGGCTCTCCAGGCCTGAATACAGGGGTTTCTGCTCACGGTCAGGAGCAGGCCCTCCATGTGGAAGTTGGGGTGTGAGTAGGGTGAGACCCCATGAGGAGAATGTATTCGATACCTTTACCATTTTGAGTTATTTTTCCCTTTAACCAAAGAACATAAAAGTATTTGTTCCCGGGGGATATTTTACTAGAGATGAATATTTAGAGTGTCTCAGGAAACAGATTTATTTAATCCAGGTTTAATTGTTAGGGTTCCATGGACCATATCTCAGCAAATTAATGTTTTCCCAAATAAGTTTAAATTATTGGTCATTAATTTCACTAGTATCCGCATTTAAATATTTCTGAAGCTCTGGCTACCGAACATAGGAGCAATTTATATGAGTCATTGAAAATTCCTCTTACTAAAAAAAAAAGAAAATTCCTCTTGCTCTCACTTCCCCCAGAGCTCCTTTCAGTGTGTTCGTGACTGTGTGGGACTCGGTGGGCCCGGATCACACACAGGCAGCCTCTGAAGGAAGACTGCTCTGCGCTCGCCACCAGAGCCCTCGTTTCAGACGACAGAGATGATGCCTTCGTCAGGCCTTCTCACTCCTGCTTTAGGTGTGTTTCTAAGGAGTAGGTTGGTTGTCATGGTTTAGAAGAACCTCTTCGCTGTCAGGAGGCAGTCATCCTAGAGGGGGCACCAGCCATCTGGTCCCTGAGGGAGAGGCCTTTAGGGAATAAATAGACAGGCTTTTAGCCAGAATGGCGTAGACATTTGTTTCCCCACTTAAAGCGGACCTCAGTTCCAGTTCTAGAATTCTAACCTTCCAGAGTCGAGGTGGAGTCTTTTGGCAAATTCATTAAGAGACAGAGTGTTTTCTCTAGGTTTGCTGACTGAAGGGGCTTAACTACCCGCCCCCTGTTCTCAGCATCTTAGTCCTTCCCCTCCCCATCCCTTCTCCACCCCCTGCCAGTCCACGGCGAAGAAGAGAAACTTTGCCAGTCATCTTTGACAATGGAAAGGTTAGAATTCTGGAATGCAGGAATAATGGCAGTTCGGTTGGCATTTATTATTTTTATTTGTAGTTTCTGTCACTGGCTCTGGCAAGACCTGGTTGAGAAGAATCCTTCCCTACCCTGGCGTACCAGAGTGGCTTCGAAGATCACTGTAGCTCACTTAGGACTCTTGGAAGGGACGCAGGCCTGGCTAGATAGGTTAGGTAGACCCAGTTCTCCTGGTCAGGAAGTGGCAGTCCAGTCAGACACGAAGCTCTGATGTCTGGGAGTCCAAAGCTCCCCAGGCAGCTGAGAGCAGAGCCGGCCCACCGCACCCGTCACATGCCTGTTATTCATCACAGGCGAGATGTGTCATGAAGGGGAGACCTCACCTGTGGGATAAAGCAGCCTACGTTCCTGCCCACCTTTTGGTATTCGCTGAGTTTTCAAAACCTTCCCTACCACACCCCTTGGTCTTTGTTTGACTTCATAGTGAGGCATCTGTACTTACCGGAAATACCTGGACTCAGTCCCTGTTGCATTCAGGACATTGACCTTGGGAAGTCCTTTCTGCAGACCTCGCATAAGCACAGTGGCCAGGCCATCCCCTCACCTAGTGTGTGGTCAGTCCCATCTTGGGCTCAGCAGTTACAGAGATGATTAAGACCCTCCAAGAATACTGTTTCCTGAGCTTCTCCCGTTTATGCTGAAATACAGTTTGAGAGAGAATGCCATGAGGTTGGGCTCCAAGGAGGGAGGGAGGGAAAGAAGGAAGGGAGAGAAAGGAAAGGAGGGGAGGGGAGGGGAGGGGAAACAAAAGGTACACAGATCGATTTTCTTCTTTTGGAGCAGGAACCAGAGCAGGAAAATTGCCACACGGGCGAACTGCTGCAGGGTGGTCCGTGTGGGCCTCACACTTCAGGTTCCCACTAATCCTGTTTCACACCACCCAGTGTAGCCCTTTCTCTCCTTCTCCTTTTAACTATTTCTAGTTATTAGATATCCCTGGTTTAAAAAGCAGGCAAGCATACTTCCCCAAGTACTCCATTTCCTCACGTTTGTCTCCGGCCCATCGTATCTCCTCAGCCCACTGATGTAAATCCATATCCCCATTCCCTTCAGCAACCCAGGGAGCTCGTCAGTATGCCAGCGGATGATCTAAGCCCCAAATCGTCACCTCTCTAGAAAGACGAACAAAAACAGCCGAAAAGAGGGAGGGCGGTTGGGGATGGGGGCTCTATAAATGATGGATAAAACCATGATCTCAGACGAGCCAGCCTGGCCCGGTCCCCTACGGTGGTCATGCGGGTGTCTGAGCGCACAGTTTTCACCCGTGGGCCACAGCACCCCAGTCTGGGCCGGCAGCGGCAGTGGCATTTTAATGTCAGATGGAAGCGCTCAGGCCCGCGTTGCCATGGCGACCCCGGGAGTGGAAGAGCTAAAAGCAGCAGCAGCAGCCACCTCCCGGCGCAGCCTACCCTGAGCTGAGTGGTGCGGTCGGATTCCCTTTGTCTCACTCGCTTGCTGGCTCTCCGGGTTCTCTCTTGCCCCTCCCCCTCCCTCCTCTGCTTTGTCGCCCACTGCCCCCCACTCCCAGGTTCCCAGGGCAGCAACCCTTCCCAAACTGCCAGAGGTCCTGGGCCCCTGGAGGTACCAGGAACCAGACGCCCCTAGATGGCCCCAGGCCAGGTGAGCATTCCCCACACCTGACATTAGGCCCCACCCACTTGCCATTTTGGGGGGTCCTGCGGCCTCACTTCAAACCAGTCTTTTAGAAAGAGAATTAAGAGAGCAGGAACTGTTACGTCCCTTAGCTGTGTGTCTCCCTGGCTGTGTCCACCCTGGCAAAAGGTGCTGCCCACCTGGCCCACCCCGCTCCCCAAGAGCAGCATGGAGCTGTAAGTCATGGAGACGCACCTCCTCAGTACCTCAGAGAGCTCCTCACCCGTGGGAGTTCCTCATTTCCATGGGATTGCTGCCCCATCAGAGTTCAAGGGCTTGCCGGGCTTGACCTCTGTTCACTGGGGGTGGGGTTGCTGAGTAAGCAAATGCGCTGCTGTTAGCGCTCTGTACCCTGGTGAGGAAGGGCGCTCCACTCCGCGGGCCCAGCAACAACCCCAGCCCACCCCAGCCCGTCAGCCAGCTTCGTCCTGGGCAGCACAGCAGCTGTATCGCACTGGCTTCAGATGTCGCGTTGGTTCATATTCTAGTTGATGCCCTCTTTTGGGGGGGAAAAATGCAAAAAGAAAACAGATTTGTGCCACTCTATTAGAATGCCTAGAAAAAGGGCACACCATGTTCTAATTAGAGTTAAAAAATAAAATAGAACTTCTTCTAGACACTAATTATATTTTGGACATAAACGTTTAGTTTACCAGTATGTTTTAGAATGAACCTCTTCCATGTTCTGAAGGTCGCACCTAATACTTAAATGATAGAATACATTGACAGCCAGAAACCTGGGACCACTCTTGTGCAGGTCCTGAGTCAGTGGCTGTCTGGTGTCTTCTTCCATAACAAACCCCAGTCGCATCGCCATCACCTGTGTCAGCAATGAAAGGTGTGTCTTTAAGGTGGTTAGAGGCTGAGGTTTTAGCATTGAGCCTTGAATGGGGTGAATGTACACCCCAACAGTGTACATACACATGGGCCTGTGTGTGTTGTCTGTACAGAATATCATACACACAGAGCAGTGTCCAGTCTGAGGCGCAGGAACGCAATGTAGCTGCTTAAGGAAGGGAACTGAGAGGACAGGCTAGGATGGAAATGTGTTTTCCCTATACATGCCCTGGTCCCCGTGATTATTATGCCATGTGCATTTATGGTTTGCTTTTAAAAATAAAATGTGATATTAAAATTTAATATCACTTCCTCAAGAAAGTGTTTCCTAATTCCCCCACAAGTAGAAAAGACAAAATTAGGTCCCCTGCCCTGAGATTCCATAGCACTCTGTATTTTTTACCTTCAGAGCTCATCATCACACTCAGAGATGAGTGTGTAACTCATGTTTAGTGAGGCCTCCATGCCAGACTTTAAGCCCCATGAGGGCAAGGGCAAGGCCTGTCTTACACGCCGCTGTATCTTCAAGGGCGGGCACATGGCGGGGTCTCAGTCTGTATCTGTTGAATAAAGAGATGGGAGGAAGGGGACCAGAAAGGAGGTGCCGACGTGACAGGGCAGGGTGCCTGCTGTCTAAAGCGGCACCCATCTCCACGGGCCTCTGAGCTCAGTGACCCTCCAGGGCTCGGCCCGTCCTGTACAAAGTACCCCTATAAAGTCGATCCATGAGACCCCATCTCACCAAGTTACCCAGCCTCCTGGGCCACTTCCAGTGGCTTTCCCACACAAGGGCTACCACTGAAGACTTTCCCAAAATCTCTCAAAGGTCCACAGCCCCCCAACAATTCTTGTATAACTGTTCTCTCTAGTGTATGTTTACATTTCATCTTAATAAAAATTTTGATACGTTAAGTTGCATGTAAGGGAAACCTTGTCATTTGCCAAATCAGTTCCTAAGCAGCAGAGCCAGCCCCACTTTCTGCCCATTCCCAGGGATGGTGATGCTTTGAAGCTCTGCAGGAGGGTGCACTGGAAAACCCCTGGGGCTTTAAAACCCCAGCATCCAGGAGCCCACACACATACCTATTGAGTCAGAATCTCTGGAAGTGGGGTCTCTCCACTGTTAGGGCCCGTTTTTCAGCTGCTTCTCCGATGACCCTGACGGGCAGCCAAGGCTGAGAGAACTCTGTTGCTCTGTGGGTCCCAGAACTGGAGGCGGGGAAGTGGGGGCCTGACACTCCCCAAACCCAAAGCCAGGATTTCAGCCGTAAAGCTGACGCTAATACACTGTAGTCTGGACAAAGGGGTTCTTTGCTTTGGAGTGTTTCAGTGTTACTTCTAGAACCTCTCTTTGCCTAAAAAGGCCTGCAGCTCCTTTCCTGTGACAGTCATTTAAAACAAATATGTAGCTGTCTAATCAGGGCACGAACCATTTTTCAGACTTGCCTGGGCAGCAATGACCTAAATATTACTCAGAGTGTCTAACTTCCAGCCCCAGAGGAGGAGTGTATTTGGTTTGATTGTTTTCGTCCTAATGAAGATGAGCCAGTAATTCAAGGTCCCCATCGGGATGGCTGAATCATTTGATGCTATGACTTAGTTCTTCAGAAAGAAAGCAGTGGCGTGGAGTTATTATGGAATTACTCACTTTTCAACAGAATCACTGTACACTCAACTCAGTCTAATTGCCGTGCCATGTTTAATTGATAGGAGATAAAATGAGCAGAAACCGGAGGGGCTGGTGGAAGGGGCCCAGCCCACTTATACCTGGCAGTATAGAGTGAGCCTTCAGAAAATGCGACTAGCCCATTTTGGAGCCAACGGCGTAGCAGCAGATTGCTCTGCTCTCCCCACCAGGTAACCCTGCAGGCAGTAAATAAGGCCCACATCAGAAGCCACTAAAGCTGTAAACACACACAGCAGGGAAGTCTGCCCGAACTGCCCACCAAGATGTCAGATGCCATTAACTTTCTGCTAGAAGTGTGGCTGCACTCAGGGTCAGGCCACATTTGGCCAGAAGCTACATTTGGGCAACTCACATAGAGATCCCTTAGGAGGCTGGGGGCAGGGAATCTAGGTCCCTCTTGGCCTCTCAAATCAAGTTAGTGATCCCAGAGGGATTGGGAACTCATCATGGCAGGCAGCAAGAGCACAAGTGTGGCCTGAGAGAACACACACTCTTGTTTCCAGCCTGAATCCAAATAGCCCATTTCTGGGAACTTAAAAAATAAGAGAACCGTCAAATGGACTGGAGCCCACACAGGGGCTTCTGATGTGTCTACCAGCGGCGGCGGCGGCATGGGGAGTGGCTTCTGTGATGTGGGATTCCTGAGCGCCAGGACTGGCCAGCCACCGCTGGCTCCTCTCTCATTACAGGGCCAGAAATAGATGCCCCATCCCAGGAAAAGGGAAATGAGGCTGCATGGAATGTTTCATCTGTTGGAATATTGTCCTGAGCTGCCTGACGATATTACTGAGTTTCAGTTCTATAGCAGTGGCATTGAGTAAGAGTCTGAAAATTGATGCATTATATACTTGCTTAAAATAGCAAATGCAGAATAGAACAGCAGAGCCGCTAAGAAGTGTGCAGAACATGTTGATAGAAAGACCTGCTTTGCCTCCGTTATTACCAGCATGAAAGGGTGCATCAGAGCAGGGGGTAGATTTTCCATCAAAAAGCATTCGTGTGCGGTAAAGGCCTCTGCACCACAGTGAGACAAGGGTTTTTAGCTAACATAATTGAGTGCGAATGTTCCTGTTTCCGAACAGGTGGTAGAAAGTGGGCAATTTGTTTCTTTTCATCTCAGTGTTCTGGGGTTGGTTTATGAGATAGTTCCTTCTGTTTCAACCTCTTTGAATTCCCCTGAGAATAAAAATCCCCCATTACTTGCTACCTAATCAGATATTCTTCGCCGTGGGTTGCAGTTGCCCGGTTGGGCAGTAAGGTTTAATGAGAGTGAGGTAGAAAAGGCGCAAAGAGAACTGTGTCCTCAGCCCCCAAGAAGAAAACAGCATCCTTTTGGTCAGCTTAAATGGGATTTCACAATATCCCAAAACAAGGTAAAAGGGCCTTCTGGAACGGACAAGCCATTTTGCCAGTATGGCCTTAGGAGGTGGCAGAGTTGTTCCATTTCCCCACACACACACTTGATGTTTACTGATTTTACAGAGAGAGGATGGGAGAGAGGAAAATGTCAGTGTGAGAAACATCGGTCAGGTGTCTCCCATATGCACCCCAACTGGGGATCGAACCCACAACCTAGGTGTGTGCCCTGACCAGGGATCAAACCTACAACCTTTTGGTGTTCAGGACAACGCTGCAAACAACTGAGCCACCCAGCCAGGTCCAGAGTTGTTTCTTTCTTTTTTTTAAAATTTATTTATTTATCTTTAGAGGGGAAGGGAAGGAGAGAGGGAGAGAAATATCAATGTATGGTTGCCTCTCCTGTGTCCCCTGCTGGGAACTGGCCTGCAACCCAGGCATGTGCCCTGGGAATCAAACCACAATCCTTTGGTTCGCAGGCCCTCGCTCAATCCACTGAGCTACGCCGGCCAGGGTCCTTTCTGTCCTCTCACTTGTTTAACCAGCATCCTAAACATGAGAACCTCCTTCATTAAAGAAGTCTACTTCATTAATGCAGTCTGCTCCAATAATGAACATTAACTGGGTGCTTATTCAGTGCCAGGAATTGCACTAGCCACTGTGCAGATACCTTCTTTAACTCTCACCAAAACTTTTTGGAAGAGAGAGCATTACCACTATCAATTATCCCAATTAAGGAAACCAAGCTTCTGTGGATTGATTGCTCAGAGCTGTACACATGGACTTGAACCCTAGGCTAGCTGATTCCAAATGCATCTTCTTTCCACCATGCCCCATGTCCCTCTCTCTTTTTTTTTTTTTTTTTTAGAGAGAGATGGGGAGGTAGAGAAAAAGAGGGAGAGAGACATCAATGGGAGAGAGAAATATCTATCAGTTACCTATTGCACATGCCCCATACGGGGACCAGGCCTGCAACGCAGCCCCGGCATGTGCCCTGACTGGGAATTAGAGTGGCAATCTTTGACTTCGTGGGAGAGCTCCCAACCAACTGAGCCACAGCCGACCAGGGCTGTCTCCTCTTGATTAAGCGACATTCCTGGAACTCTACAGCAGCCAGAAGTCCCTGGCCCCCGTTTCTTCTGTGCTGTTGCTGCCAGCTGAGATGCCTGGCTCCTGGGCGGGTTACAGCCCAAGTTCTGAGAGGCTGCTCAGTATCTGAGAGAAGCGACCTTATCCAGGCTCACCGAGCAGTTTGATGTAGGGAAGTGGGGGGAAGAGCCCCTAAACAGAGACTTGAACCAACCACTCAGGAACCCAGAATTTGCTGACCTTTTTTTTGGACCTTGACCACTTTCCACATTCCTCCATGTCACCACACTTTTAGAGAATGTGATCTTTTATTTTCAAGCGAGGTTTGGACCTTTTTTTCTTCCTTTATAATTTGCATTATCGCTCTTAAGAAAGATGCTTTAAAAGTTTGGATGTTTTGAGATA